TCATGATACGTGGACTTTTCATACCTTTCATGTAAATGACCAGGTTATTATTTCCATGCAGTCAAAAAGAGTTCATTGTGTGGCATTGGGAAGGACATTTGCATGCCGTTTGGTAGGAAAAAAATGTGTGTAACTGGACTTCAAAGAATATAATGCATGGTTTATTTATTGATTAAGAAGTTAAACTACACACAGGAAAGAAACAGAATCCAGTAATCTGAAACATGAGGTCAGGGCATGTGCATAAGTGGGTTTTTTTCCCCTTTGTTTTGTTTTTAATATTTTATTTTAAATTTGTTTGTATATAAAGTTTGTATACATTATGTTTCACACTATCTTTAGTTCACTCTGTATTTAAGACAATAATTCTCATTCATTGTGTGTTATAAAATCATTCACCATTAAACCATGCCCTGTTGTTCCAGATCCCTGCCAGATCTTTCCCATTTCTGTTAACCACTCCCTCTATCCAACCACCAAATTGTGCCGCATGATTTCCTCGCCTGCTCTCCCTACCTCTGTATTCCCACTCCTTCTCTCCTTGGATTCCCATACACATTTTACTGGTTATCCTTCCATTTTTACAATAGTGATCTTATGCAGTCGTTATCCTTATGAGATTTAGTTCACTCAACGTAATGCCTCCAGTCTCTCCCAAGTTATGTAGTAATTTTCAAAATTGTTTCTTCTGAGTGCTGCGTAGTATTCCGTTGTGTGAATGTACCCCAATTTCTCAATCCATTCGATGCGGTTAGACATTTGGGCTGTTTTGATGTTTTTTTGCGATTGTGAGTAATGCTGCTATGAGCATTGGTGTACAAACCTCCATTTGTGTCTCAGTTCTAATTTCTTTGGGGTATATTCCTGGTGGTAGAATAGCTGGGTAATAAGGAATTGCTGTGTTCAGCTTTTTGAGGAAGTGCCAAACTGCCTTCCAGAATGGTTGTACCGTTTTAGAATCCTGTTAACAGTGTATGAGAGTTCCTACCTCGCCACATCCTCAACATTTATTGTCACCACAAGCAACATTTATTGCTTGCTGTCCTAAACTTGGCCACTGCTTTTGGGGTGAGATAGTATCTCATTGTCGTTTTAATTTGTCTTATTGCACAGAGACATCTAGGCACCTTTTGATTGAGAACCTCTGATGGCCAGTTCTTCTTTTCTTTTGCATTTGAACCTAGTGGAAAATATTTGCAAGTGCTCAGTCAAATGCACTTGTTGCAGAATTATTTGTAATTGCCACCAAACAGAGAGCAATTTTAGTATTATTGACGTTATTTAATTCTTCTGTGTTACCAGTGGAACTGTTATCAGAGAAAGGTAATTACATATGTAACCTGAAATCAGTCCTTGTGAATACAGAAAACCTGGAGCTCAGGCAGAATCAGGACCTTGTCAAAGCATTGGCTCATAAAGTGAAGTCAGTCAGAGACGCAAAAAGACCTTACTATAAATGTAAGAGAATGATAGCAGTCGTCTAATTAAACAGTTCTCAGAGGACTGTGACCTTGAAGTTCTTTCTGAATTTATGGTTGTTGTTTTTTTTTTTAATTTGTGCCTACCTTTTTTGAATAAGCTATAGAATTTTAGTATTTGACTAACTTGTTTTATATTAGGTATATAAAAATCAACCTGTAAACAGGTCCCTAAATAATTGGTCTTTTATGTATGAGTGTGAATTCTGGACCCATGCTATTTTATATACACATAACTCCAATTACTTTTACAATCATAATATAGTTCTAGATTTTAGCTATTATTGTATGGATTAGACATGAACTTACTTCTTGTTGTTCTTCTGAAAGCATGAACTTTTGAGCTATAAAACGATATTTAATTTCTATTGCTAGGAGTACCACCTAATGAGATCAGTGAGAAAACCATTGTTGAAATTAACTACATTAATGCTATCAGCTTTAAGATTAAGCTTAAGTAGATCCAACGTTCAAAGAAGAAATTACTGATAGGTCTAAGAGGCCCTAGTGACTTTTTTTGGCTGGATGAACCATAGTCTCTTGTCTCTCAGTAAAGACACAGAATTGTGGAGGTGGGGACCTAACCTTTAGTGTCAAGATCAGCCTTGTATTAGAGGATGTGAAACATGGTGAACAGAGGTTTCATGCACCTGTGGTTTCGTCATGCATTAAATAGAGAAGGCTTTTAAGAAGGATGGCTGTAATATAATGGGAAATTGCAAAAGCAAGTCTTATATGCATGGTATATACATCCAAATATAATATTTCTCATTAAATTTGCATATATTTATGTGTACTGAAAGAGAGCTAGAGAGGAAAGGCTTTACTCTTTCAGAGCTGCCAAATATACTAGGGCCTCTGCTTGTGTCTGTCACACTTACCCCTCTGAATATTGTTTTTGTTGTTATGTACCATCGAGTTACCTGCAACTCATAGCCATGCTATGTACAACAGCTCTGAAGCCTACCCTGTCGTGAGTCAGTATCACTGACTTCAACAGACCTACCTCCATTGCCCCAGTTACTGTATCAATCCTTCTATAATCTGGGATTTTCCTCTCCTGAATTACCCCTCCACCCTTCTGAGCATGATGTCCTCTAAGGATTGGTCCCTCTTGGCCATATGCCCAAAGTATGTGAGACGGAGCTTCGAAATCCTAGCCTCGAAGGAGAAACTTGGTTTCACCCTCTCCAAGACAGACCTATTTGTTTTCTTGGCAATGAATGTTATATTCAAGACTCTTATCCAGCAACCACGACTCAAAGACATCAATTCTTCTTCTGTCATCCTTACACATTATTCAACTCTCTGATGCATAGCAAGTAGTTGTGAAGACCACGGCCTGGATCAGGCGCACCTTAGTCTCTAGACTGACATCGTTACTTCTCAGTACTCTGGAAAGGTCTCTGACAGCAGATTTACCTAATGCAGTTTGTCTTTTGATTTCCTGACTGCTGGTGCCAAGAGTGTCGATTGTGGAGCCAAGCAAGGTGTAACTGTTAACAACCTCAATCTCTTCTCCATCCGTCTTTCTACTTTCAATTTCACTTAATGGTAAAACTATTGTCATCTTGATGTTGAGCTTCAATCCATATTGAAGACTACAGTCCTTGACCTTCTGCTGCAAGGTCCTCCTCAATTTCAGCAAACAAGTTTGTATCATCTGCATAACACAGGTTGTTTATGAGTCTTTCTCCAATCCTCTTGCCCCATTTCTCATTATAAAAGCTCAGCCTCTCCAATGATCTATTCTGCATATAGATTGAAAAGGTATGGAGACATATCCCTGATACACTCCCTTTGTGATTTTGAACCATTCAGTGTTTCCCTGCTCTGTGCTGAGGACTGCTTCCTGGTCCAAGTTTGGGTTTCACATAAGCACAATCAAGTGTTCTGAGATTCCCATTCTCCTCAAGGTTAGCTACAATTTCTTGTGATTCACACAGTCAAATGCCTTTGCATAATCAATGAAACACAGATAGATATCCTTCTGGTACTCTGCTCTCTGCCAAGATCCATCTGACGCTGGCGATAATGTCTCTAGTGCCTCTGAATATTAAAGGTCATGAATAGACCGCCCATTCCAGTTCACGCAGTTGAGTGATGAAATCCATCTTCACAGTCTTTCCTTGGTTGGGTAAAGGATGATTCCTGGACCTTCTGGAGTTGTTTGCATCTGATCCATGTTTTCAAATCTAGCCCTTAATGTAGCAAACTTGTGTTTTTATGTACATTTCTCAGGGGTTTTTGCTATGACTGGAAATTAACTCTATGAAAGTGTATTTCTTTAATGCTGTCCCTAAAAAGTTTATAATTTAAGAATCATGAAAATAATATTCTTTGCTGAAAATAGAAATTATTATTACAACAACTTTAAGGTCAAGGTAGAACATACAGTAATCGATTACTTTCCCCATGTGTTACTTAGTCACAATGAATGTTTGTCCGTGGATGCCAGCCAACATTAATCCAGGTAATATACTGTCCTAGTAATGCCTTCTTGCTTCCAAACTCTTTAAGATAAATATTTCATTCCTATTTCTTAAAAAAAAATAGTGCTTAGTGCTTTTTAAACACAAAAAGAATATAAACCCATTGTAAATGATCGAGTAGGATAAATAGATACAAAAATTCTTGGCTGTGCTTTCAGTGTTAACCACATCGGACGTGTACTTGTCTATTTTATTTGCATATAATTTTCTTTTTCTTTCTATCCCTCTCTATATGTAAGCGAAATGAGAAAAAAGACATACTTAGCTGGGCGTATATACTATGTATAAGGTATTGAAGCTTGCTTTTAGAACTTTATCCCATAGCATTCTTGTCGACAGCACATTTTTATGCTACTATGATACGTGTGTGTGGTGGAGAAGAGGGTACAATTTAAGTTTTGGTAGATATTAAAACTGTGTCCCCAGGGGAGCTCTGGTGGCCTAGTGGTAAGGAGCTGCAACTACAATCGCAGAGGCGCATGGTTCGAATCCACCAGATGCTCTTCCGGGGAAGAAGGGACAATCTCCTCCTGTACCAGTCAGATCTGATTTGACGGCACACTCACACAAAAATAATAAAATAAATAATAAAAAAACTATGTCCTTTTATTTTTTCAATATTGAAGTTTATCAAAAGTTACTTTTTCTTATAGATTGGCAACTACATTTACAAATGTATAAAGTTATATATTTGCTCTGTAAGCAAAACGGGATATGTAACTATACTTAAAATGAATATGCGTGTATTTTTCTTTAACATGAATCAATGTCTTTATTGAAAGTAAAGATTATCTGACTGTCCAAGGGATGATAGACTAACTCAACTCATTGCCATCGAGTCAGAATGGACTCGTAGTTGACCCTGCATCGGGTTTATGAGCTATAAGTTGCACGAGAGGTGATTGCTAGTTGCTGTCTTCAAGAAGCTGCTGGTGGATTTGAACCACCAGAGAGGTGTGGCCTCATATTAGCAGTGCAGCTTCCTGCAGACTGTGCAATCACAGCTGGGATTTGCATTCTCTTCCTCCAGGGCCCATTTGGAGGCTAGTGCTGAGAAGTGGAACCGGCTGCTGACATCTTTAGAAGAGCTCATCAAATGGCTCAATCTGAAGGATGAAGAGCTGAAGAAGCAAATGCCCATCGGGGGTGATGTTCTTGCCTTACAGCTCCAGTATGATCATTGTAAAGTAAGTCGACCTCACGAGATGCTGGCATGGGGTGTGTGTCTTCATTTTTATCCTGGTGAAGTAAGCATTCTGAAATAAAAATTTAAATTATTTCTAAGTCCACCCACTTATCAGAAGTCTGTCTTTTCCCTTTCCTGTTTTAATTTGTAATATTTTGACACCTTATTTGAATTGCGTGCAATGCCTCCAGATTGTTGTGGTGGGGTTTTTTTGGTGTGTGTTTTTGTAGGTTAGGTTGTGTCTTCTCAGCTGACTTTCCTTTTCTCAAACTTTAAAGGTATCTAAAGCACACTCTTGCTTCTGGCTTTTAAGATTCGTCTAACTTTCCAATAAACCTTAATAATAATGTTAAATTATTTTTTAACTACATGTTAGCTTAATCTTAAGTAGGACATCATACAGATGTAAAATTATACATTCTCTTATTTTAACGGAAGTGAAAAAAATAAGAAATTTAAATCTTCAAGGAAATGAAAATCATAGAACTTAAAATCATTTTGCAGGTGGTTTGTTTAACTTAATTTTTTGTGGTATTATTATTATTAATTTCAATGAACATCGGCAGAGATTTTGGAATTCCATTCATTCATTGCTGCCCTTTTCTCCCCACCTACTCACCCTCACCCCTACCCCCAGTTCACGCCTCTCCTTGAAAAGCAAAAGAAAAACTCCTTCATTGGTACACAATTCCCCCCCACCCCGCACATCCCTACTCCTACACCAAGTATACTCCACTCTACAACCCTCATTCCAGTTTCTTATGATAATCATAATGCCCTAAAATATATTAATTTTAAACTATTCTCTCCCTCATCGGCTTCAATGCAGTAAACATAATTTATCCAGTTTTTCTCAGTGTTACCGCCACCCCAATGTCAGCCTCAGTCTACTTAATCTTATTTTAAAGCTGTGTTATTAGCTCTGTACAAATTCCTGCCTCTGTGAGTTTGAACATTTACTTTGTTAAGCAAACAGAAATCTATATTAAAATATTATTAATTAACACTCCTTATTCTGTTTTTTTGTATAGTCTAACTCTTTGCTTAACTCACTTTTCATAATTAACTTGGAATCCCTTCACCTTCATTCTCTTATACGGTGCATATCAGCTTGTGTGGGTTGATTACACTCTTCACATGTGACACATATTCTCATTCTGTACTTTTTAAATGTTGTACGTCCATTCTGTCTCCATTTTTAAAATAAGATACACACATACATTCTCTAAAGGAAGCAGCCATTTATGGAATAGGTTGCTGTAGTGCACAGTGATAAGAACTGAAGTATATTTTGTTTTGAATCTTTGTAACTAAGTTATTCAAAATGACCATTTGGGTCTATTTCCTCTTTCTACTTTAAAAAAAAAAGACTATGATGATGAAATGGCTATAAAATGACAGAAAAAAGGAAAATTGTTGGTATATGTCCTGTGTGTGTGTGTGTGTGTGTGTGTGTGTGTGTGTGATATAAATAGAAGATTTAAAGTCACTGATTTTAGATAACCGTATTTTTCTCCTTCGATTTTCTCTTCTATTAATTATTCATATGCCCTTTTTTATGGATTCACATATTAGTGATGGGAGAGAATAACAGAGAGCTCTTTCACTGTAAGTGCTCTTTAAGGAATACAGTCTTGTGTGGCTCCTGGCTTTGATTTAAACCCAGTGGACTTCCTGTTCTGACATTTGTGAGCGGAGTGCGTCTTAGCCTTTCCACTCAGTCCTGGCTGCTCTCTGCCTCCCCTGCCCTCAGGAACTGTGCCCTAGCTTGTGTTATTCTCTGACGGAGAGAGACACATAGTTGTACCTTAGATAGCTGCTCGCAAATTCTGGCATCTCCAGTTGCTACATATCAAAGAAGATGCAGAATGCCTCTGTGACTATGATATGCCTAAACTGTAGTATTTGCAGGGACAGAGGATCAGAGTATCCTGCCCCAGAACTTCTGGATGGGTTTGAACAGTGACCACTCCTAATAGTAGGGAAGTGTTTTAACTGCTTTTCCCATCAAAACTCATCTCAATAAATACTTCTTGAATTAATGAAGCTATATTCTTTGCAGTGCCGCTACTCTTACTGCGTTTACTTACTGAATATCTGCGCCCAAAGGGTTGAGGTAAAACAGGTGGACACCATGCTCTAAATGGGAGTATAACACAGGCTAGGGCACAAATAAAACCTCCAGAAATTCTATGAACTTAGAGAAAAGATGAAAGTTTTGTGTTCAAGACTTTTGTTCATAGGATTGCTATGAGTTGTCTATGACTCGATGGCACTTAACAAGAGTTAGTAATGATTTGGTCAAACAACCCAAGTTACTGCCAGCAATAGAGTATAGAATAGATTGTAAAGTTTGTGGAGTTGTAATGATAGAAACATAAGATTTCCTACCTGTATCAAGCTCTCACAATACATCTGGTGCATTGATAAGTATTGCATTATCTCATTTCACGTCATGAAAGCATATGGCCCTGCCGTCTGCATTTTACATTTAATATTTCACAGTCATACACTTAAGCAATTTATCCACCATCAGTTAAGTGAGCATTGTATTTCAACCCAGTTTAGGATACTTCAAATATATTCATCATTGTTGTTGTGTTGTTAGGCGCTGTCGAGTCGTAGACGACTCATAGTGACCCTATGAACGAAAGGCCTGAGCACTGTTCATAGTTTCCGGAGGCAAACCATTTCGGAAGTGGATGCCACTCTTGCTTCCAGGCTTGTTTTATTTCGGAAGCTCCAGCAGACACTGTCCACCATGCGTAATCATTATAGCTGTCTCATTATTTCTCAAAGTCTTAAAAAATAATCAGGGGACCGGAGGCCGCCTTGGCGACAGGGTGGAGGGGTGATGCCGCCTGTCTCCAAGTGGTCCCGCCTACGCCCCATGCGGGTTTCTTTTAAGCCTCTGTAGTGTCCATCCCCCTGCTCAGGCCTATGGAGCCCGCGCGAGACTATCCGCGGGGGCGCCTTTTCCGCCATCCTCCCCGCTGGGGCCATTGATGTAAGTGACCTCCGGCCAGTCCCAGACAATCAGGAAGTTTTCTGCCATCGCGAGATAGACCAGAATCTGATCGTGGAACTTCTGGAGCTGCAGGCCCACGTGCGAGGCGAGGCGGCAGCGAGGTACCACTTTGAGGACGTTGGCGGGGTCCAGGGCGCGAGGGCTGCACAAGTGGAGGCCGTGCAGGCCTTCCCTTTGGAGAAGTTGGCCCTGGGGGGCTGCTGTCAGGAAGCCTGGGTCCTTTCTGGCAAACAACAGGTAGCTAAGGAAAACCAGCAGGTAGCAAAGGAGGTGACGCTACACCAAGCCCTACTGCGGCTGACCCAGTACCAGACCGACCCAGTACCAGACCGATCTCCTGCTCACCTTCAATCAGCCCCCGTAAGGAAGGAGAATAGGTGGAAGAAAAGTGGGTGACAGGGCCTCCAGTAGAATAGGGCTGGGTGGGGCCTTGAAGGAAGTGAGAGAGAGAGAGAGGACTAGAAGTTTGGGGTCTCTGATAGTGAGGTAGTCTGGGGAACAGGAAGAGGAACTTCTGAACTGGGATGATCTCTTCTCTCCATCTGTTCCCCCAAGCCCTGACAACAGTTCATCTCTTGGCCCTGAAAATCTGTCACCCCCACCCTGGAGCCTGGGTGACTTTGAACAGCTGTTGACCAGTCTGACCCTTCATGATCCCAACATCTTTGGTCCCCAATAAAATGTAAGATGCCCAGTTATGTAAGGGAAACAAAGGGTTGGATTTGGTTCCCCTCATTCTGTCCTTCTGTGTAAACAGAAGACACCTCCACTCTGCAGAAATAAACTTACTTTATAATAAAAAAAAATAATCAGAAGGCATGCTAATTGTCTCAAAGCTGGTTCTTAGCTCATTCATCATTAGTTCAAAATATATTTTTTGGACAACTTCTATGTGTCAGCACCATTCTTTAGTTTTTGTTAACTGTAATCATTTACAAATCCGGGAAACTATGGAGAGAGCCTTATGAAATTTCTGTTGCAGACCCCATTATTTGTCTCTCTTTGCTGACATTATAACTCAGCTTGGTGATGTGGTGTGAAAGTTAGCAATGTGTCTCTCCCTCTTGTATGCTGTGAAGTGTCACTTTCCTGTCTTGGTCTAAGGAAGAGTCTAATAGCCATTTTTCTCCTCCTATATATTTTTTTTATCTGTCATTTGAGAATGTATTGTTTGTTGTTGTTGTTGTTGTTATGTGACATCTAGTCGTTTGCAACTCATAGCGACCCTATGAACAATAGCTCTAAACGTTGTTCTATCCTGTGCCAACCTAGCCATCTCAAATGCACTCACCCCCACTGCTCCAGTCACAGAATCAATCCATCTCATTGAAGGTCTTCCTTTCCTGTGCCATCCCTCTACTCTGCCAAACATGATGTCCATCTCCATGGACCAGTCCCTCCTTGCAACATGCCCAAAGTATGTCAGACGAAGCTTCAGAATTCTTGACTCCAAGGAGCATTCTGGCTTCACCTTCTCCAGGACAAACCTGTTTGTTCTCCTAGCATTCCATGGTATATTCAACACTCTTATCCAGCACCACAGCTCAAAGGCATCAATTCTCTTTCTATCAACTCTATTCACTGTCCAACTGTCTGATGCACATATTTGCAAAGACTATAGATTTGTCCTGGAAAGGGTTAAACCGGGTGTCTCCTTGGAGGCAAGGATTCTGAGTCTCCATCTAACATACTTTGGACATGTTGTGAGGAGAGACCGGTCCTTAGAGAGGAACATCATGCTTGGGAGGGTGGAGGGACGACGCAGGAGAGGAAGGCCCTCTATGAGGTGGATTGATTCAGTGACTGGGATAATTGATGGGAGTGTCAGAGACAGTGCGATTGGCACAGGACAGAGCGGAGTTTAGGGCTGTTGTACATAGGGTCGCTATGAGTTGCAGGCGACTTAATGGCACATAACAAACAACAACAACAACATAGCCTGGATCAGGCGCACCTTAGTCTCCAGCCTGACA